TTTCCGACTCATAGTGACCCCATGCACAGCAGAACGAAACACTGCCCGATCCCGCGCCAGCCCCACAATCCCTGCTATACTTGAGCCCATTATTGCAGCGAAATACAAATACAAGTGGGTGGCTTTAATGAACAGAAGTGCATTCTCTCACAATATGTTGTTGTTGTTGTAAGATGCCATCGAGTCAGCTCCGACTCATGGCAACCCTATATACAATGAAATGAGCCACTGCCCGGTCCTGCGCCAACCTCACCATCCTGGCTACGCCTGAGCCCATCGTTGCAGCCACTGTGCCAATCCATCTTGTTGAGGGTCTTCCCCATCTTCACTGACCGTCCACTTTACCAAGCATGATGCTAACATGTCCAAAAAGAAGTGAGTGACACACAGTCTCTCCATCCTTGCTGCTAGGAGCCTTCTGGCTGTACGTCCTCCAGGACAGACTTGCTTGTTCCTCTGGCAGTCCAGGCTACGTCCAAGTCTCCTAGGTAGATGCCCATCTAGTGTACCCATGTCACACCTGTGGAGACTGAGCCTCAAAGGGGATAAATAATGTGTTCAAAGTCACACTGCTAAGGAGCTCTGAATCTAGGACTTGAGCCCTGTGTGGCTTCTGAACTCAAGCCGTTCAGCACTAGCTTATACCCAGGAGTGATGTTAAAAATATCTAGTGCATGAATGGTGAGGGCACTGAGGAATTCAGGTGGAGGCCCATGATAGCTGGTCGGGCCACACTAGTGCGTAGCAGCTGGGTGTCAGCTCTGGGCTATACCGTCCTCAACACAGTCACGGGAGTACAGAACCTTCTTCTTAAGCTCTCTCTTCCTAACTTTCTCCCACGCTGCCTCCTTGGTCTCTGGCCCTTTCTCTGGCTCCTCCCTCAGGCCCCCAAATTAGACCCTCTGCATTTCTCCTCATTCCCTTCACAAGCCCCCTCAACCAATTCCAGTGTCACTCATACTCTGAGGTTGACTTCCTGCTGTTGATGTGTTGCCATTTCTCGCGTTTGCTCCGTATTTCTTCTTCCCATGAGTACCCTGCTGCCACATCAGAGGTCAAAGAGCAAACCCAAGTTCATTGGGATGGGTGGGACCAACTGGTACAAGTCTACCTTGTGAAGGAACCAGGGTGGAGACTGCTAGCTGCTCATCTCAGCTGGGAGCTCTGGTAGCGTAGTGCCTAAGGCACTTGACTGTTAACCAGAAGGCTGGATGTTCAAACCCACCAGCCACTCCTCAGAAGGAAGATGAGGCAATCTACTTCCGTAGTGATACTGCCTGGGAAACCCAAGGAGGGGTCACTATGAGTCGGGCCCGACTCGACGGTACATAACAACAACAACCACCTGCTCAGCTAAAATAATACATTTCCCAGACCCCCTTGCAACTAGGTAAGAGCTTGTGACTATGTTTTGGCCAATGAAAAAAAAAAAAAAAACCTCTCTGCTGTCGAGCCAATGAGAGGTAAGCAGAAATATTAGTGGGGCTTCCAGAAAGGGTCTTTCAAAATGCACAACATCTGTTTGGTCTTCACGTTTTGGATGGGACATGGTGAGCAACGGAGACAGAGGGCCTAGGCCTATCAGTCCCTGCCCTCAAGTGCTTACCTCAAATGCCCCAACCCCAACATCCCTGGAAATTGGGACCTCGGGGCCCCTTTCCTGACAAGTCCTCTCAGTCTGGCTCAGGTCCTCATGCATGGAGCCCGGCTACCTCTCCCGGGGGCCTTGTCTGGGCTTGCAGCCCCCCGGGGGCAATCACACTTGGATCTCACCAAGTTCCTAATTTTTCCCAAGTGTCCCCTCTGCCACCACCCTCTTTCCACCCCTGCTGTGACGGGCACCGTTCACCGTGTTCACTGCTTAGCTGCCGCCACCACAGGGTGGCTACTGGACTCGAGCCATTCCCTGGTGTCCCATGGCTGCTCCTGGGTGTGTGGGCCTGGAGCTTTCTAGAAGTCGGCTGCCCCTGCCTGCATGCAGCCACCACGCGGAAGGCAGTGCAGAGGCCAAACCCCACAGACCACATGGGGCCGACCTGAGCGAGTCAGGCACTGAGACCAAGTGCTACCCCCAAGGCAGCCCCTCTGAATACACCCTAAGGGGGCACTCCTGATCCTGTCTTCCCAGAATTCCCACTTCCTGAATGTTCAAGATTAGGTGCTCTGGTGGCGTAGTGCCTAAGGCGTCTGCCTGCTAACCAGAAGGCTGGAGGTTCACATCTACCAGCCGCTCCTCAGAAGGAAGGTTGGGCAATCTACTTCTGTAGTGATACTGCCTCGGAAACCCGGGGAGGGGTTGTTACGAGTTGGGACCAACTCAACGGCAGTAAGTTTGGTTCTTTGGTTTTTGAATGTTCAAGAAACTCTGAGGACTTGGAGAAATCTGGGCTCCGTGAGCAGATGGGGTGGGAATTCCACTTGAAACAGGTACAATGGATTTGTTTGGAAGAAGTAGGTTAATGAGCCCCGGGAGGTAGGGGCGAGACCCCAAGGGCATTCTCCCGTTACAAAAGGTTGTTGCTACCCCGCTGACTCCGGAAGGTGAGTGCTGTGAGCCCCAGGGCTGGAACAGGTGGGGCTTGGGGGTAGGAGGGGCGCTAGAGGCCAGTTCTGCAGAGAGAGGGGTTGGAGGGGAGCTGCAAGGCCAGGGGGTGGGGGTCGGGCAAGGTCAGGCAGCCCTGAGGGGCAGCTGGAATTTAGGGAGAACTGCAATACCCACTGGGAATTTTTAAGTTGTTTGTGTTCAGTTCTCCAAGGTAAACCTCTCACCCTCTCCTCCATGAGAGCAAAAGTCTTGCCTTGTTTGCGAGCTTTCGTGTGAGTGCTGGCATCCAGGGGGTGCAATTTCTCCTGCAGGTTGGCTTGGAACCAACACTGCCACAGGCTGTGAGGACACCCACAGAGGCAGAGAACAGGGAGCTGAGTCACCAGCCGGTGCTGGGACGATTGGTTCAAAAAAAAAACAAACCCAATACCATGGAGTCGGCTTCAACTCATAGCGACCCCTCCTTGGGTTTCCAAGGCAGTATCACTACGGAAGTAGGATTGCCCAACCTTCCTCTCTCATTTTCACTTCCAGAGGAGATGGCAAAGGGAGGACAAAAGAGAGAGAGAAGCGCACACGGAGGAGTCCCTGGGGGATGCAAATGATTAAAGGCTCAACTACTCACTGAAAGGTTGGAGGTTCAAATCCGCCCAGGGGTACCACAGAAGAAAGCCCTAGCAATCTGTTTGCAAAGGTCGCAGCCTTGAAAACCCTATGGAATAGTTCTACTCTGACATGCATGGAGTGGCCGGGGCTGGGATCCACTCAACAGCAGCTGGTAATGAGAGAGAGAGAGAGAGAGAGAGAGAGAGGGAGAGAGAGAGAAGGGGGCAGAGAGCAAAGTAAAAGAAAATATATATCGGTTTTGGGGTGCTGAAGTGCTTTCTAGATATAAAATCCAGCAAAGAAGTCCCAAAGTGTGGAAAGACAGATAAAAACAAACAAACTCACTGCCAACAAGTTGATTCCTAGGCATAGAGACCCCATTAATAGAGGTCAAGAAACATTTAAGAGGCAACCCACAATCTGGGGAAAAAAAATTAGCCACAAGTAAAATAAAGGATTAATACATACATATATAGAGAGATCTCGAACAAATTGATGAGACAGCATAAAATACCAATAAAACAACATGCAAAACACAAGAACAGAATATTCAACAAAGAAATTTAATTACCTAACACTAAAAAACCAAACCAAATCCGCTTCTGTGAAGTCAATTCTGACTCGCAGTGACCCTACAGGACAGAGCAGAACTGCCCCCCCCCCCAGGGCTTCCGAGGCTGTCAATCTTCACAGAAGCAGACTGCCACTTCTTCCTCCCTTTCTCGGAGCGGCTGGTGGGTTTGAAC